CACCAACTTTGTGGCTTCTTCATCGCCATCACCAGAGGCGAAGACAGAAAACAAAAACTTCCCAAGGAAGAAGGGCGGCGGACTTGAAATGTCAAACGTTTTTTTAAAAGATTAAAACGACAATCAATGCATTTTCTTGGGGTTATAATTTTTCTGGTAAATATCAATGAAAACGATTGTCGTGGTTTCATGGGGAAGGGATTATGGCTCCGCACGTTGGGTGGACATTCTTTCTCGGGCGCGTTCCGTCCTTTGTCTGCCACTCCAGCGTGAGTCTCGACCACTCGCTGTCGCCACGTGTCCTTCCCGAGCCCCCCTTACTTTTCTTATACTTCAACATAACATATCTCTTATTATATATAAAAATAAGAATAGGTTTTACGCTTTCTGGCAACAATACAGATGTTAAGATGTTCAAAAACCAAATAGAAACGTTTTAGAAGGAACCAAGTTTGCACTAACCACACGTACTTGTGGTGAACATGCAAACAAACATGCTCTGATAATAATGCACTATCAAAACATGTATAGCTCGGGGTGAGCAGCTACATTTTTTCATACTTTGATACTGGCAAAAAAAGGTCCAAGATCACTTAATATTCACGATCCAAATTAAAATACCAAGCCATTCTTGTAAAGTACCTCTTAACTTTTGATCGTTGTTTGACCGGAGGCAATTTTGGCCACGATCCAACCAGCTGTGGCGTAGTGACATGATTAACTTAAGGGGGTGTGTGGCAATCGGTCAGGTGGGGCCCCAATATTTGATTTGTCACGCACTGGTCGCAACCGAGGTTATTTCTATCGCGGACCCTCTTGTCCTGACATCGTCACGCTCACGGTAATTTTAATTTAACATTTAATTGAAAACGCGTTTTATGTTAAATATATTTTTTATCATACACTGTCGTTGAAAACATATCTCATTGTGGTCGTCCAAAGGAGTGCCCAACTCGTACCTCTGGCCACCAGGTAGGGTGGGGGGGGCAAGCCACCCCCTGCTCCCACGCGAGTTACGCTACTGCCAACCAGCGATCTGTGAAAACTGAACAACCCCTGCGTGTGGCTTGTTGGCAGCTGCTGGGTCCGCGTTCTTGCAAATGCCACGATGGATATGCAGTGCCGATAAGCGGCACTGGCTGCTGCACGGGGTTGCAAAGTTCAGACCCAGCTTTTAATTGTTAACTTCGATAAGTGAAAGTCGATTTACAGCTAAGGGGGTAATTTGTTTTGTTAATACATTATAACTGTGATCTTTAAAATACAACGTTAAAACAATGTCATAGCCGTAGTGTAAACGATGCTTATCCATCTTCTTTGGTTCTTATCCACTCCACGTGGTGCAGTGGCTGGCAATCACTGGCTGTAGCGCGGTCTCCCCGGGTTTAAATCGCACGTCAAACTTTTACTAAAATTAATACAAGTTGGGCAATGCCTCATTACATCCTTGAAAACTGCTGGACGTCTGTGAAAAAAGAGCTTCATAGCACATCAGATTCCTCCGGTATAAATAAAGATTTTGATTCTACTTTATGTAACTAGTGCGGTGACGTCATCGCAGCACAACACAGCCACGTGGTACCACCACCACTGCACCACGGTAGAATTGCAGGTCCAGGAGTCCGTGGTTCAAATACTACTTTTATTTTTGTTTAAATATACACATTTTTGAATAAAACAAACTGTATCTTCAAAATGACGATTACTTAATAACCAGTACAATGATCACAGCCATTAAGCCATTTCGTGTGGTTGTAGTGGATAGCACAGCTACCACAGAAGCTGCCAATACCTGGGTTCGAAACCGTCAAGTAAGTTACTGGTCACGTGTTTTACAGCAAATCAACTGTCTAACTTCTTTCGCACCGTACGTAGCAAACTGTGCTAATCTGAGGTGCGGGGGAAGGGCAATCTAAAACATGACTCACAACCAAACAGTGGTGTCTAAAACGCAACAAGTGATAATCTACAATGAGAAAACCAGTTGAGCATCCCCTATTACCTCGTGTCCCACCCTTATCCTGTGCTTTCATACCCCCCCCCCCCCCTTGCGTCTCTCACATCTCACGTTGCACCACTCCCCATGCCCTCCCATCCATTTTCTCTCCCCTCCACGTGCTTCTTACCCTCTCCCATTGGCTCCACCCCTCTCCCCTTGCTCCCAACTCCCCATGCTTTCCCATCCTTCTCCTCACCCCGTGATCGATCTTCTACCCTCCCCGTGCTCTCCTCTCCCCTTTTCTCCCAACTCCTCTCCTCGCGCTCTCCCCTTTAAGCAGTCGAGACATCGTCCAAACGCCAGTCACGCGCACCCGCGGTGAGCACGGTTGTCTACACACGGTGCGAACTGAAGTTCAACATACACGCGTTCCCTGGCCTCATGCTCGTCAACCTTTCACACGTCGCTCGTGGGAGCCAGTGACATGCCAAACGATGCCATCACAATTCCCAACAAGCCATGGGGCACTGGGAACCCCCAACACAAATCCCAAGCAGACCAAACGTCAAATTTACTGCAGGCCACGATTTCTCTTTATTTCATACAAAATGTACACAACACATTACTCTGATGTATGCATATTTCTTGTGTATATACACAGCTTTTCATATAAATCTGGTTTATGCATCATGATATAATTACAGGCCAGCGTGGAGTTTTCACGCGACATTAATAGGCGCTCGCAAACATGGCTCGTTGCATTCCCGACACGATTTGCGATCTCGGCAGCACGAAAAAAATTACATATGTCCAAAAAGTAACAATGACGGCTGTGTTGATTTATGTCCACAGGGCTTGAAAGTTGTGGTGTGTTTAGTGTTGTCTCTGGGTCGAAAGGTGCAGTTTGGTGCGCGTCGGTGGTAATGTCTGTTCCGTCTCTTGAACCCACTCTAATTCCCCCCATCTCCCCAACCGCGTACAATGGAATATACCATGGTCAATGTTGGGATAGGGGTACCTTTAAAACGTTATCAGCCACAATTACTTGCGACTGGAGGTTTTCAAAGTCACAAATTGTAACCCCCCAAGTCTAAAGTCTTTTTCAAGCACCGTAATTTGATATATCTGTGATTCATAGTTGAAACATTCAGAGTGTGCCCATGCTTGTAGTGAGCATGAGCAGCGAATGTATACGATTTTGTACATACACCAGCAACTAGAAATTCCATTGTTCCATAAGAGTATCCCAGTTAATGATTACCTAATTACATTCATGACTCCTTCATTCAAATGCCTATGGTATTGGATCTGACTGAGCGTGGTATCACTGTCATTAGACCGCTAGATTCACAGTCTAAAGGTTGCGAGTTTAAACATCAGTTGGGGCAGGCCCAGTTGGGGCCGGCCTCCGCCTGTAGGTCACTGGGGTTTATCAAACGAGTACTGTAGTTCTTTTGTCAGAAGTTGACAATCGCCATATGCTGTTAAACTCGACCGCAGTAATGTATATTTTCTACAACTGGCTCAGGGCCACAAAGATGAGCAACTGCCCTATTGCGTCCGTTTGAGCATTGAAACAGCGACTTATCAAAACGCCAATTTAAGCTCAGAAATATCATCTCTACGCTATGACTGTAGTAGGCTCTGCAGCATTAACTCTATGCATTTTCACTAATGTCATTGCATGAACCCAAGTGCTAACAAAGATCTCCCCCATTTAGATGTTTGGAAGGAATAAAAAAAATGAAGAGTAATCATCCAGTACACATCAAATCACGGTAATCTGACCACAACCTGAAGTCAATTATTAATAAGAGGATGACTGATACTTGCATTTGGTCATCTGAATACAGTAACACATTACTCCCAAACACTGTCGATGGCTCACACGGTAAGCCTGACTGGGAATTAATAATTCCCCGATGATTAGGGGTGTAAGGGGACGTCATTACCGTACACTCTTAGCATAGAGCGCATCAATATATCAATGTATATAAACGTATCAATAGCAATCATAGTACCACTGTGTTAAGATCAATAAGTAATGTAACATACAGACATTGGCACAAAGGAGAGATAAATTGAGCAATGAGAATGGCTGCGGTGTGTGTTTAAGGTGGCGGAAGGGTAGTGGGAGCGTTAGTGTAGTAGTTAGGGCACTGCGCTACGAAGCTGCCTACCCCAGTTTGATTCCCACTCATGGTCAACACCAGATTATAATCGTTATCTGAACCGATCCTGGTCTCTCCCCTTGGTTGACTCAGCCTCAAATGGGTACTTGGCGTGATGTGTAAACATAGCCACTATGGATACAAAGGCGGTCGGGCGTCGTGTTGGCGACCCAAAGCGCTTTTCCCAGAAGTCTGTTAAATGCTTTACGGAGGATCTTTGTCTTTGTTCAGGTGGCGGACGGGTGAGAGGATCGTGCGAGCGAGCGGGTGAGTGAACGCATTTGCGTGTGGGGTAAGTGGATGAGTATGGAAAGCCTCCGAATCCATTGAAAGGCGCCAAAGTTTAAAAAAAAATAGATAGCACATTAATACAGCACTTGTATCCCATTGGCTGATTGAAGTCACAAGGTAGGAAGGCATTCGTATTCACATGGCTTATCTGGGCACGTGGGGGCAAGGTGTTGTTTAATGGTACGGAGGATTTTTCGAGGGAGAAGTGTGATGAATTTAACAGTCTTCCCACCCATTCGCGCCCCATCTTGATCACCCGACACTAACCTCCCATCAAGGCTGGTCTCATAAGGGGCCATCCATTTAGTAAGCAAAAATCTGTCAAAACTTGAATCCTCTAACCTCCCTGTACGCACGCGTACTTTTTACCCCCCCCCCGCCAACTGCGTACATATACCCCCCCCCTCCCCGAATCCTATAGAAGGGCCTATATTTAATCCATGCATACACGATCATGGATGAATAATATTAACGTGTTTAAGCAAACAGATAGTCCACCGCTGGACGATGTAAGTCATTTGAGGTCCAATGTAGACAAATTATATTATCAAGGCTTCACCCCCCCCCCCCCCGTTTCCTATGCGTACGTACATTGTCAGTAGACCCCCATTACGCAAGCGCACGCATTTGGGTTAACCCCCCCCCCCCCTCCATGCGTACGTACTAAAGGGATGGCCCCTAAGCATACAGTCTACGATGGCGTCTGGAAGCGGAGTGCACACAGTCTGCAATGGAGCAATCAAATCATTGCTCTGAAGTGTGAGTGGCTATTTGAGTGCACAATTGGTTGGGTGATTATGTAAGTGGGTAAATAGAAAAGGCAGTTGGTAACTGGGCGAGTGGTGGGTGATTGAGTGGTCGGTAGGTGAACGAGTGAAGGCATGGTTAAGTGTGAGAGGTTGAGTGTGGGTTAGTTGCTGAGTTTAAGTGTGTCAGTCGGTTAGTGGGTGGGTGTTTTTCGAGCTTATTATGTGTGAGCATGTTCACATATATATTTATATGCGTACGTATATGCGTATATTTTTGCTTGTGTGATTTCCGGGTCCCCTGACCACCTGCTCACAATCATTACAGACCTCGTGATTTTGGGCAGGCTCAGACGAAGCTACATGGCCAAGAGCCAGAGTTATTTCCTGTGCACGAGGTTGCAACGGAGCTCTCCTCTGGCCCCCACACTATTTTACACCTTTTTGATAGTGTAGTTTGAATGCCTTCCAATGTAGTACCAGTGAGATTTTCATCTGGTGCAGATGCCGTGGGAGACTGATGTATGCCTTGGTGTTATCATGACGAGGGTTGCCTTCCTTCTGGTTAACTGTGTTATGTAAGCCGATGACCTCATTATTGCTGTCCATTTTGAGAATATAAAGAAGTAGAGACCTTAAAACTAAACCTGGAGATGAATATAACAGGTGTGGCCTCACCATCAGTGTCACCGAAACAATACTCCCACTCGGGGACTTTGTGTCATCAAACACTTGTAACAATGTGTGTAAGCTCTCTGGGCATGTTGCTCCACACAAGGCTTCGGGATTTCTCGGCCACAATTATGCCCCGTCTCCTTTTCGCAGAAACACCTGCGCTGGCTTAAAACATTTAGTCTGGCCTGCCCACAGTTCATTCTGGGAGCTGAGTAGACTTGGAGGGAGTTTGGAAAAGATGCTACTGGGCAGTGTCAGCAGCTAACCTCCAGCAACAATACAAGCTGACTTTGCGAGGAGTACAGATGGTGCATCTGTCATCCACCATAGCCAGTTAGCCCATATCATATGGGTCTGTGTGGTGATCTGCTCGAGAAATGGTCACTTCACGTGGCCTCAAAGTACAATTAGACTGACACAAGTGCCATGGTGACATCATTGCCACTAAATTATGAATGTCAGCGATTAGAATTGTTACGCAAGCGTATTTATTTGTACTTGTGTATTGCGTGTGTGCGTATGTAGAACACGTGCGTGTGTCTACATGTTTGACTTATGTGTGTAATTTTTGAGCGTGTGTATAATTGCGTCATGCTGTTTGTGTGTTTGTGACTGACTACACGGTGTAGTGATCAAAACTTCCCAGATATTCAAGGGCAGCACGGTAACAGAATTGGTACTGATCCTGGAGACAGAGGGGAGACACAAAGAGACAATGAGACATGTGATCGAGTTATCATGTGTATATATTACGTATATATGCGTATGCATGTGATTGACGCAGAGACAGCAGAACGAAATAATTTGAAGGTAGGGTAGGCACAGGATGAGAGGCATAAACTAAACAATAAACTTTTTATTTTACCAGGTAAGGTCCAAAGAGGTATATAGCTCTTTTTCAGAAGCGATCTCACTAGGAATGATAGCTCAATGAAGTGTACATTTATAGCAGCCAAATCCTCTAAACGCATGTTGATTCTAAATGTGGAGGGAAAAACTGGAGCTGGAGAAAAATACACGCGACCACGGGCAGAACATGCAAACTCCAAATATATTGGCGTTGAGGTCGAACCCACGACCTCCTGTATACCAAGCGAGGTAGTTAACATCTCGCCACCACGGCACCCTAGGGGACAGGGTCACTACAAACAGAGCCGTCTCAATGCTCAGTGGGGTTCTTGTGCATATGGGGTGGAAGGCAGACACAGAGAGCAACATGAGGATGGACAGAGTCTGGGAATTAAATACACACGGGGAGAGACAGAAAAAAGGAGTTGAACACAGAGATTGTAGAGATGCAGAGAGCTTAAGAGAAACAAAAAATGAGAGAGATAAAGAGACAGGATTGGCGGCAGACAATAACATGGAGAGAAACACTGACATTTTAAGGGTCCATAAATTACTGTTGGCCCTCTGCCATGCACTCGTTATGCATGGTTAGAGATGGCTCTGTATGTAGCTCCAGACGGCCATGGCTAACAGTAACGTTAACCATGGCCGGGAATCAAGCTTAGGTCAGACGTTTATAGAGCAGTGCACTAACCACTGCATCACCGCTCTACTCAGCGAATGTATTAACCTCTAAGCTACCATTCCTTACAAATGTATGGTATACAGTTGTAAAAATTGGTAGCTCAGTGGTTTGTGCACTGTGCTACAAACCTTGGTGTGACTCCTGGCCATGGATATCACCATGGAATGTGTTACCTGTAATAGGACTCCCCTAGGTCAACTCAACCTTAAATGAGAATCTCGTGTGCTCTGTGAACTGGAAAGGCAAAAGTGTTTGCTATGCCACAACCCTATCGTGTGCTGTACCAGCCTTAATACGTTCCTGCTAACAGCACTTGTCCCAACAGTTTATCACACTAACCAAGGGGGGACCTTTCTCTGCGTCTACGTGTATGTACATTGTATGTGTGTGTGTCACCTCCGTCTGCACCATGCCCGGCCTCTGTGTCCTCATCATCTTCACTGTCTGGAAGAGGTCGAGGAGCCCTTCGTAACGCATGCGCTCCAACACTACGCTCAGGGCGATGAAGACGCCTGTGCGGCCCACACCAGCACTGGTCACACGCAAACAAAACACAAAAATCCCCTGTATAGCCTTTAACAGACTGTAGGGAAGACATGGGCAAAGTACGGCCCCCGGGCCATATACGGCCCGTTGGGCTTTTTAATCCGGCCCGCCGAACTTGTACAAATATTATTATTAAATTAAATTTTACCTTTCTCCTGTAATGCCCCAATTTCCCCATTAGATGGCGCACTTTGACCGGGAGTTACGACATGTTTTTGTATTGTTCATGTTCGTGCAACTTGTTAAATTGCCTTGCAAATAAATGCTTTGCTACCTGTTAAAGGCCAAATTCTTTCATGTAATGATTTTTACATGTCATTTATATTAGTTCACACAAACACTCCATCCATCTGTTCCTGGCCCGGCCCCTCTGTCAAATTTTAGAACCCATTGTGGCCCGCGAGTCCAAAAATTTGTCCACCCCTGCTGTAGGGGGCATGTGCTGTTAGAGAGCACCTATGAAGGCCGGCGCAACACACGAGGTGGGTGGCCAGCACCATGCCTGACCGCCTTTGTTTCCCTAGTGGCGATGTATACACACCGCACCAGGTACTCATTTGAGGCTGAGTTGAGTTAGGGGAGGCCCAGGACCGGTTCAGATAATCGTCACTGGTGTTGCCCGTAAGAGGGAATCGAACTCAGGTCGCAGGATTCGTAGCGCAGCGCGCTAATCATTGCGTCACACATACACAGGTATACACGTACATAATCACACACAACATACAGAGACACATATATACAAAGTCACACAGAAACACAGACAAAAACAGAGACACATATATACAAAGATCCCCCATATAGACACAAACAAACACACCAACAGTCGCCATTTGCCAGTAAGTGGCGGTGACATGACCACAGTTCTTCTGCCGTGCCAGGTGCACTCCGAGGGACGCAGACACAAAGACATGAACAGAGACACAGACACAAAGACATGAACAGAGACACAAAGACATGAACAGAGACACAGACACAAAGACATGAACAGAGACACAGACACAAAGACATGAACAGAGACACAGACACAAAGACATGAACAGAGACGCAGACACAAAGACATGAACAGAGACAGACACAAAGACATGAACAGAGACACAAAGACATGAACAGAGACAGACACAAAGACATGAACAGAGACAGACACAAAGACATGAACAGAGACACAGACACAAAGACATGAACAGAGACACAGACACAAAGACATGAACAGAGACACAGACACAAAGATATGAACAGAGACACGGACACAAAGACATCAACAGAGACACAGACACAAAGACATGCACAGAGACACAGACACAAAGACATGAACAGAGACACAGACACAAAGACATGAACAGAGACACAGACACAAAGACATGGACAGAGACACAGACACAAAGACATAAACAGAGACACAGACACAAAGACAAACAGACATATATATGCAGAGCCTACACTGTACACTTGTATACATTTATTTAACTCCAACACAAAGGGGTAACTTCTAACAGAATAACAACCTATGGTGGTGACCACCATGCTAACTACACTAGTTACAACGTAACTGCTACTTTGAACATTTTTGACATGCGTTTTTTCTGGATTTGTTTGTTGTTTTTCTGTCTCTCACTGTTCAAATAAACCTACCATTAAAATTATAGACTGATCATTTATTTGTCAGTAGGCAAACGCACAAAATCAGCAGGGGATCAAATACTTTTTTCCCTCACTGTAGAACGTAGACGAAGGTTTCTTCAGGATGAACAACAACGTCGGTCCCTCTGGGGGACCCGGCTTATATCCTCTGGGCGTGGCTGGCTCCGCCCTTGGCCACGACCACCTTGCAGAACCCTCGAGCAGGATCTGAACCCCGACCACGTGACCACCCCTAGCCCCCACTTGAAGCCCCTTTGTAGGCTTAACTGGTCACGTGTCCTTTAGTAACCTCATTCCTATGGCCGGCACTCCCACAACCTATCCTATAGGGCTGGCACTGCACACCAAGCGTGGTGCCATCCAGCGCTATCGATCAGCGCTCACCGAGCCCCTCTAGGGCCGGTACTACACCCACACCATTGTGGTGTCTGTGATGTCGTTACATCGCACGCCGTGACTCTCTAGGGCCGGTACTACACCCACACCATAGTGGTGTCTGTGATGTCGTTACATCGCACGCTGTGCCTCTCTAAGGCCGGTACTACACCCACACCATAGTGGTATCTGCGATGTCGTTACATCGCACGCCGTGCCTCTCTAAGGCCGGCACTACACAGTGACATCCCGCGATGTCACTACATCTGTATAAATACATACACGCACACAGAGATGCACTGATATCATCAGCACATTAACTTCGTTGATTGCTTGATCTCCCCGGTGGATGCGTGTCTCGGACACTTCCATCCCTTGGCTGCACTCCGTCATCATTCTTGACCATTGGTCATCATCCCTTCTCGGGACTTTTTGCTGCCCAAGCCCACTTACTTTTATAAACAGTTGGAGTGAATGTCTTTGGCCTGCATTTCTTCTCAGTGATTCATCCTGAGATTGGGCAGACTGGATTGTGCGAGGAGCTATCTTTTGAACGATCTGGACAGTCCCATCAGGGAGCTCCTTTGACAGGAGAGTATGCGTCGTTGGCTGGGTTCTGTGGGCTTAAGTAATACGGTCTTGGAGCATACAGGATTTGCCGACCACTTGTACCAGCGGTGTCAAGATCAGGCGCTGTGGAGGAGCAATGCTCCCAGTAATGAGCAAGGTGCTGGGTGGGAAAAAAAGCACAGCAAGTCGGCACAGTGGGAAACACAGGTGGTGCATCTGCCAGTCATCCGATAGTGAACCCATAACAGACGGGTCTCTCCCGTGACCTTCTGCCAATGAGGCTTTGATATTTCACGTGGCCGCACCTAGTATGGCACAAGAGCTATGGTGATGTTACCATGAATGGTGGCTGCTGTTGTTGTGCATGCACGTGTGTGCTGCTTTGGGCACCTGCAGTGCACTGTTATTGGCCCCTCCTGTCCAAACTGCTCCTTGGTCTTGTGCACCTGCCCTATGAAGTCGATGAACCCCTCCCCAGACCGGGGCACGCCCTGCTCCGGCCAATCCGTGAACTGGAACTGACGGACGGTGCGAGACTGCCCGTCCTGGAGACATGGAGAAACATCCAGTACACACGTGACAATATTTACATATGAAATGATCCATTTGCCCATCTATCATTGAGGTTAGTCGCATCATTTACTTCAGTAGTTGTCATCATACAGGGTCCAGTAAGGGCTTATTGTTGAAGGTGAGCTATGTACCACCTTTAGGCGAGGTCACTAAAGCCATGATCCAGGAATACACAGTGATGGGAAAGGATAGGGCCTAATGTAGTGGAGGGCCAATGAGGGTGGGTTGGTGGGTTGAGTGAAGCAGTGAGTGAATGATTCAGTGAATACGTGTGCAAGTGCATAATGTGTGAAGGAGTCACTCGAGTAAACAAGTTAAGAAGTGAGTGAGCGAATGAGTCAATGTGTGAGTAAATGAGTTGTGTGTGTGTGTGAGTGAACAACTTACCCTTGCATCTGTGACCTTAAACTCTCTCAATACGTATTGAGGCATCTTGTACTCGGCCATGGGATCAACCACAAAATACTGATAACGAGCAGAGCGTTCAGCTGGCCAGTACTGGTGACACTTCTCCTGCAGGGTACACGAAAACAAGCAGACGACACGGACCCAAGGGGTCATAGAGATATACAGGCTCATGCGAGAAGACGGGGAACACGTGGACAAATGTAAGGTTTAAAAAAAAACAATGTACCAGGTTAAGGCCCACTGGGCTTTATAGTTATTTTTCAGAAGCGACCTGGCCACAAATTATAACTCAACAAAGTGGCTTATCATGTGGGAATTTACAACAGGTAAATACTCTAAGCGAATGTTTCTTAATGTGGAGGGAAAAACATGCAAAACTCCTAATATACAGGCGTCAGGGTTGGAATAGAACCCACGACCTCCTGTATACCAGGCGAGATAGTTGGAATTTCACCACCATGGCGCATGGATGGATAGCAAGTAGATGGACGGACAGGAGATGGGAAAGAGGGGGACACACGGGGAGTCGAGAGACATGGGGAAGTATGGGGATGTGAGCAGACAGACATGGGGAGTAAAGATAAGAAGATACAGGGACAATGTGGGTGCAATGTTATACTCAGGTAGGTGCAGACAATCCTACAACTGTCTTCTTTGATTCTTTCGGTAAAGTCACGTAGAATGAGAATAAAATAATTTATTTTATTTTTTTATTTTATTTTATCAATTTATTATTTTATTCTCATTCTACGTGACTTTACCGAAAGAACCAAAGAAGATGAATCATTGCAGTCATGAAAGCTTTAAATCGAAATTCTACAACTGCTTTGGCTTTAGCATGTAATACAATTGTAGCATGCACTGGTTTATTACTTTTAGGAGCTTCACTTGCATCAAGGCACTTATATACTGGTAGATGTTTTTTATCCGCATATTTGATACAAATATGAGGTTTATATAAAACTGTAGCATCCCCAAATGAAAATCACAAACCGTATGCAGCTTTCATAAAATCGTTATTTGACAACTCTTGGAATGGCTCAGCACGGTTTTGATCTCCTTTCAAAAGGTGGTTAAAGCAAAGGAGACAAAGGAGAGTCCATTGCTGCTCCTTTTGTTTATAGAAATCACCTTTCCACAAGAAATAGGTGTTCTTTAGACAGTGTTCAGCTAGTCGTGGGATATCTTTGGCTAAACCTGTGTTCAAATAATACATTTTTTTTAAATGCATGCCTATACAGGTCACTATACTTCAATGGGGTTTACCTTTGGTGCTATTTTAGTACACACAATCGACATGAAGTACAATAAGAACAATGGGCGTGCAAATGTGCATACACAATGTACGTGGATTACCATAGAAATAACACAAACGCCAATGGATACCCACAGTAATTTATATGTATTAATTAATCCCCCACCCTACTTCGCACAAGAAGAGCACACAAATGTTGTCATCACATCTACCCCTCTCCTATTTCATCTGGATACAATCATTATACCATCTCGTCTATCTCATCATACTTCATCTCTCTCCTGTATCGCTTTGGAATACACAACTCTCCTATCTTCACTCTTCTATCCCATTCTTAATACATATTTCTTATCTCTTCGGCATATATCTCACACTATCTCATTGTGTCTCTTCTTTCTCGTGTCACTTCATCTGTATCACATTCCTGCATCTCTTCTATAACATCACTGTATCTCTCTCCTCCATTTACATCTCTTCTAGTTAATTTAATTCAAGATCTATCTTTTATCTACATCTCTCCCATATCTCCCATTGCACTCCAGCTCCTCATGTTTGCATCTCCACTCCCTCTATTCACTTAATCTCTTATCTTATGTCTGCATCACTCTTTTCATAGCTTACTGCATGTCATCTCACTACATCATCTCTAACTCTTGTTTGCGTCACTGTTCTGAATACTGTATCTCTCACCTAAATCATCTTTCTCACTGCATCTGCGTAGTCTCCTCTTAATTGAATGCATCACGTTTGTCTCTCACCTGTCTCTTGTCTCACTGCATTTATAATTTATATTTTGCAGATCATAGTTTCTTCTGTATACTATACTGTATTACATTACATATATTAAAAAAAAGTTCACTATTTGCCTCTGGATCCAGCCGGAAATCTAATTGGGCATTTGGGTTTCAGCCATAAAACAAAAAGTGCTAGTCCATGCACCTCTCTAATATAGTTGTATACACGTGTATGGGACCCTTTTTGGCAGTATCAAGATGATGAAACAATTAGTTGTATACACGTGTATGGGACCCTTTTTGGCAGTATCAAGATGATGAAACAATTAGTTGTATACACGTGTATGGGACCCTTTTTGGCAGTATCAAGATGATGAAACAATTAGTTGTATACACGTGTATGGGACCCTTTTTGCCAGTAGCAAGATGATGAAACAATTAGTAGGCTTAACCCTTTCAGGAAATAATTTCCAAACATCAGAAAAGGTACCTATCACGAGGTCTCAAGTCTGCATTAAACACAAATGTGGTATAACATGCGAACAAATATGCTTTGATAATGTATATATTGTCCTTGAAACTGATTGGCCTACATTATACGTATGTGTTTATACGTGTGTATACATGTGTGTGTGGTCCGGAAAAACAACCCCCTACCTCCTCGTGGTGCCGGATGGGCAACGCTGTCGTGGGCAGTGCCGTGGGGGGAGGGCCAATTCCGATTGGCCTTTCCCCTCATGGCGTTTGTAACCACCACAGCGGCCAAATAGGGGCTCTGAACGGGTGCCAGGGGCTGGTAACCCCTCCACCTTTAATGAATTACCACTAAACCACGACCACAAACAATTATAAATAAGCTTGTGCCGGAGGCCCCGGGGGGATAGGCGTCTATGACGTCTCCTGGCCAACCCCAATTTGGCAGAGCCAGGAGACTGAATCACTACCCTCGGGGCTCCTCCAGGAACAACAACAAACCACTACGTGTGGCCACGTGGAATGTTCGAACGCTCACTGCGGAGGAGAGGCTGCCACTCCTCTGTCGGGAGCTGGACCGGTACCGCCTGGATCTCTATGGTATTCAGGAGGTCCAGTGGACTGGCTCTGGCTCCTGCCACCATGAGGGGTGGACTGTCCTCTACTCGGGGCAGGAGACTGCCAAATAACAGGGTGTGGCTCTTCTTCTGAATAAAAGAATGAAGGGGGCGTGGGAGCGTGGCAGTGAGGTGTGGGAAGCTGTAAGCCCCAGGCTACTTTGGGCTCGCCTTCCCATCAACCAGAGGGTTAGGAGTGGTGGTCGTGGTTACTTATGCCCCCACTGAAGATGAACATCCGTGGAGGGATGCAGGCAAGGCCGATGAGTGAGATGCCATCTATGACCTGTCACAAGTGCTAGCTAAAGCGGCCCCTTGGGAGAGAGTCATCTTGTTGGGTGACTTCAATGCCCGAGTTGGTCATGATGCTGGCACCTGGTCTGGGGTAATTAGAAGGAATGGGCCAGATCAGCTCAATAACAACGGCAGGAGGCTGCTAGATTTTGTGCAGCCCATGGGCTTGTAATTACCAACATGCTGTCCCGGCATCGGCGCATCCACACCACATCATGGATGCATGCCGGGTCCAAGCAGGAACATCTGCTCGACTACATAGTGATGGAATCGCGGATGCGGGCCCATGTCCTTGATACCAGGATCTACCATGGAGATGATCTACCCACTGACCATTGACTTGTCATCTGTAAGATGTGCCTGACATTCTTCCACTCCGGTGGTGGGTGTACACCCAGGACCCCATTCAAACCCTTAGTGTCATGGTCTCAGCTAGCTAATGAAAGTTGCAAGTGAGAATTTCATCATCGCTTGCGGCTGGGGTTAGCATCATCCCCCACTCCTCCTGATGTCGAGGGGAAATTGGCGAGGTTTAGGACTGTGGCTAATGCAGCTGTAATGGCTGCTTTGAGTACACGGTCCAGACCTCCCCTGAGACCCTGGCTGGCAGAGGAGGTGTTCAAGCTGGCTGAGAAAAAGCGACAGGCCCACTCTCATCGGCTACAGCATCCCACTTCGAAGAATGAGGAGGCTTACCGCAGCCTTCGCTCGGAGGTTTGGAAAGCCGTGAGGCGCTGCAAGGATGGGTGGTGGTCGCGGGTCGCTGAGGAAATGGAGTCTGCCTCAGTGGCCCGCGGTCATAAATCGCTCTTTAATTCCAGGAAAAAAGTAACCTGCAGCGCCACAACTATTACCATCATTAGGGGAAAGAATGGTGATCCAATCTCCGACCCCCAGGAACAGGTTTGCAGATTTTCTGAGCATTTCTGTGAGGTCCTGGGGGAGGGGAAATCCCTCACCCAGGAAAACGTGGGACAAAGTGGGGATGACCCTGCTGAGGCTGCGGTGCCTCAAATATTGGAAGAAGTCACCCCCTGTGAGTGGCTGGCTGAGGTGTCATCGATTGAGGAAGTACTGAAGGCAAACCAGAATCTGAGACCAGGAAAGGCACCGGGCAGAGATGATCTCCCAAGCGAAATGCTGAGGGAGAGTGGCGTTTGTGCACAGACTGCCCTACATAACATCATAACAACAGTCTGGACCACTGGACGGGTTCCACAGGATTGGAAGGATGCCCTGGTGGTCCCCTCTTTAAGAAGGGGGACCGCACAGACTGTAACAACAGAGGTATCTCACTCCTCAGTGTGCCAGGAAAGGTCCTGGCATGGATTATTCAACATCGCCTTGCTAGGCACGCTGAGGAGAGGCTTCCGGATCCCCAATGCAGTTTCAGGAAAGGGCGGTTCTGCACAGATGCCATATTTTCTCTCCGTCTGCTACAGCAGAGGTGTAGGGAATTACAACAAGACCTACATCTCTGCTTTATTGACCTGGTCAAGGTCTATGATACCATCAGTAGGCCTGGGCTCTGGGTTGTTCTTCGTGCTTTCGGAGTCCCTGACCCTCTGCTCACGATCATTAAGGACTTTCATGATGGTGAGCAGGCCCGGGAAAACTACGTGGCCGGGAGTCAGAGCCATTCCCTGTACACCTTGGGGGGCGACAGGGACGTCCTCTGGCTCCCACATTATTTAACATCTATTTTTACCACGGAGTTCGTGAAGCCTTCAATAGCTGTACCGGAGGAATTTCCATCTAGTACAGATACAATGGGAGGCTGATCGATGCCCGGGTGCGGGTCAAGGGATGGCTCCCTATTGCTCAACCATGTTATGTATGCCGATGATCTGGTAATTGCTGCTCACTCAGAGGAGAAGTTGGAGGCGCTGCTGCTGAACCTGGAGCTTGCCACCAAGAGGTGAGGCCTTACCATCAGCCCCACCAAAACTAAGCACCTGCCTGGGTATTTTGTACCATCGGACACTCCACCCCCACAACTCTCAATTGGTGATAGGGCAGTTGTGGAGAGAGTGGAGAGTTTCCCATACCTTGGCAGTGTGCTCATGACCGGCTACGGTTTAACAGCAGAGGTCTCACTCCGAATCAGTCGTGCGGCATTATCTTTTTATCGGTTGCGTAACGCTGTGTGGAAGCTACCTGGTCTATCGCTCCGCACGAAGCTTCAGGTCTTCTCGGCCACAGTCATTCCCTCCCTTCTCTACGCTTGCGAAACGTGGACCCCCCCTCTTCGCCGGCTAGAAACATTTAGGCTGGCCTGCCTACGATCCATCCTGGGTTTAACCAGGCTGGATTGTGTGAGGAGCTCACAAATCCTTGAAAGATGTGGACAAAGCTCCATCGGTGAGCTCCTCCGGCAGGCAAGGCTGCGTTGGCTGGGTCATATAGCCCGCATGCCCAGCTAACGCATGCCTAAACAGCTTTTGTTTGGCCGGATCGAGGGGGCTAAACGGGCGCGGCACGGGCTAGAGAAGAGATGGAGTGATGTGGTACAGGAGGATGTGGAGCTGAGTGGACTTGCCGATGACTGGTACCAGCGGTGTCAAGATCGGCCTCTGTGGAGGAGGCTCGTGAAGGACGCTACTGGGCAGTTGGAGGCAGTCGACCCTCCAACAACAACGGAGGGCGGAGGAGCGACGCTCACAACAACGAGCGGAGCGCCGGGTGGTTAAAGCACAGCAAGTTGGCACAGTAGGGGGCACAGGTGGTGCATCAGCCAGTCGTCTCAGTCAGTCGACCTGAGGCATCTGGGTCTGCCCCGGGACCTCCTGCCAGCAGGCGTTCGACACTTCACGTGGCCTCAAGGTGCACATAGCCTGGCACAAACGTCATGGTGACGTCACCGCCACTTAGTGGCGAATGGCGGTTGTTGTTGTGTATATACGTGTATGTTTATACGTGTGCGTTCATACGTGTGCATTTATACGTGTGTCTATACGTGTGTGCAGATGCACATCATCATGTACCCGCCCCATCTCTCTCAGCTTGGTCAGCATCACAACGATCGTTGAATTTTGCTCCCAAAGCATTCTCCACAAGTCCTCTGTGGTCTCTGGAAGGGGCCCTTGTGTTGCGATGTAGGCCCTCTGCTGCCTGCAGGACAGGGAAACAACCATCAGAAAACCCACATAGAACAATCATTAATCTACTAATGCGAGAATAAAGCTTCTACTAGTATTACATCAGAGGCATGTCTGTTGACAGAGTTGATCAAAAAGTTAGCATTACAACTGCGTATGTTTCCGCGGTTGTGCTGTATGGCTCTCCGATGCGTATTCAGGTTGTAAAGCGTGTTGATTGGAATGATGTCTGACATTAAGCTCAATGTGCTGGAAAGTTATTTCAAGAACTGAATTCAGTTACGTTAGTATTTCTATCAGAGAGGTGTATCAATCGTATGCAACGTGGAACACGGATTTCATGATCATCCTCCATGTTAGCGAGATGTTAACTGCCTCGCCTGGTATACAGGAGGTCGTGGGTTCAATCCCGACCGTGACGCCTGTATATTAGGAGTTTTGCATGTTCTCCCCGTGGTTGTAACATAATCCACTTTGTTGAGCTATCAATTTTGGCCAGGTCACTTCTGAAAAAGAGCTATACAACTCAGTGGGGCTTACCTGGTAAAATAAAAACAAAATTTAGTAGTTTTTTTTCAGATCTGAACAAAATTTTGTTTGTGGCTTTTCCTCATTCACAGTTACATCACTGTGTCTAATGGTGTGAGCGGTGTCGTCGTGCTTGTGCGTGCGAGCGGGAGACCGGTATCCATCGATGTAGCTGGCGTTGATGTAGTCAGATCCCTGGGTGCCCCGGATTGCCTGCAGCGCCACCCGGCTGCTGTCAGGCGGGATCACTGTGAGCAGGCGATTCTTGAGCTTGTTGCACGGCAGTGCCCCCGACGGCGCTGTGCTCACCCGCAGCTTCGACATCTGCAGGCGCTGGACAGGTGAAACAAAAGGTGGGACAAGGGGAGCATGTGGGTGAAGGGAGACAGAAGACGGGGGAGGGAGAAATGAGGAGAGGAAAACGGAGAAATGAGGAGGAAAGAGAAGGAAGATATATAACATTATTTATGCATGTAAGTGTACATCTTGCATACACGTGTACAGCATGTACATTCCCATATCCTTGTGTGTGTGTGTATATGTTTATCACCTTTTTGGGGAGTGGTAGTTTTGCGGTTAGCATGCTGTGCTATGAACCTGGAGGGCCAAGTTCGATTCCCGCTCACGGCCAACACCAGTGATTAATATTTTAACCTGTCCTAGGCCTCCCCGAGGTCGACTTCGCCTCAAATGAGTACCTGGTGCAATGTGTTAACATGGCCACTTGGGAGACAAAGGCAGCCAGGCATGGTGCTGGCCACAGACCCCCTGGTGTACCGTGAAGGCCTTCATATGTGCTACTTGCTAACAGCACTTGCCCCAACAGTCTGTTACAGGTTATATGGGAGATCTTTATCTTTATCATCTGGGCAGTTCCAATGATTTTGGATGTACATTTCAGATGCAAAAATATGTGGCTCATCTTAAGCATAATCAACAAGTGTTTTTTGTTATTACTTGGGCATAATGTCAATCAAGACTGATATTCAGATAGAAATAATTTGTCTACCATTCTTTATAAGCGAGAAATTCTCATAAAAATACCACAGTGGTGGACATACTCAGACCAAATTATTTTTTACATCCACGCCGGGATGGTGATGGTGCATTCATTGCCATGTACGTGTCATTCAATATCTATACCAAATGTTTTAAAAACATAATTACCTTAAAAATACTACCCAATATGCATTGACATAGTATTTTTGGCATGACGTGGGGGGCCCTTGTAGACACAGGACGTGAGCCTCTCCTGCCACATGGGGGCCCCTTCAGCCCATAGCCCCTGGTGCAGCTGCACGACCTGCACTCTTGACAGCCAAGCTACACCACTGCCAATGTGCAAATCACCACGATGACTTTGAAACGTTGAGGGTGAGGCTGAGCGAGCTGTGGAGCTGCCCACCTGGAACTCGAGGTGGAGCCCTGTGGTGCGTGGCTCCGTGTGTGAGACGCTCTGGCTCAGCCGCTGAAGGTGAGCGTGCAGGGAGCGGGCGGGCGTCTCCGTGCAACCACTCGACACCGCCTCCACCAGCGCCGTGTGCACAAACGCGTACTGCTCCTCCGTCTGCACCATGTAGTTACGCTGGGCTCGCATGCAAGTCACCTGCACATGCAAGCATGCAAACAAACACACACACGTACCGACAAATAAGACAAAGATCCCCCCGTATAGCCTCTAACAAACTATTGAGGGAGGTGCTGTTTGCGAGTACTTAAGAAGGGCGGCATGGCACACGAGGGGGTGGCTGGTCAACACTACACCCAACCGCTTTTGTCTCCCCAGTGCTGATGTTTACACACAGCACCAGGTATTCATTTAAGACTGAATCAACCTAGGGGAGGCACCCGACCGGTCAAGATATGTCACCGGTGCTGGCTGTGAGCAGGAAATGAACTTGGGTCACTGGGTTCGTAGCACGGTGCGTTAACCACTATGCTACCTCTCCCCACAACGTACAGAATACACACGTACACCTACATGCACATATACCTCTAAATACAAACTAACGGTGATACATCCGTATAGACCGTTGGAGCAAGTGCTGTGAGTGCTTATTAAGGTCCACGTGACGCACAAGATGGTGGTGTGGCTAGCGCCAAGCCTGGCCACCTTTGTCTCCCCAGTATTAAGGCTGAGCAAATTTACGAGAGGCCCAGGACCGGCTCTTATATCACGAGCCACTGAAGCTAGCCGCAGCTGTAAACTAAACTCGGGTCACTGGGTTCATAGCATGGTGCACTATCCACTCTCCACACATATATCTCGATATATATACACACACACACACACCCAAGTTTCAAGCTCAAGGGGTCGTCACAGTTATTGCTGTTGATTTTGCAAGTCTACACCCATCCTCCAACAGCAGACCCCAACATATGGTGTTAGTCCTTCCCTTTGGTCGCTGATCTCCGGATGCCACCCGAATGCCTGTCTGTTGTTAAACTGCCCTCCTCCATCACGTACATGCACCCCGCCCATCGCAACCTCTTATTCGCAATTGTGTGCAACATTTACCTGTCATGTCCTATTCTGAATTTCCAAGTTGATTACCCACTCATGCCAAGAAATTCCTAGAATACCAGACAAAGCACTTGTGCTAAAATGGCAGATTTTTTTGTATAGTTATTTGTTATAAGTCCAGCAGGAACACAGACGTTATGCCTCCGTTGTAGTTGCGTTTATGTTGTGCTAATATTGTAGTTGTGCTATAGTTGAATTGTAGATGTGTTGTAGTTTGTATTGTTTAGTTATGCTGTAGTTGTGCTGTACATCTGTGTAGTTGTGCCGTAGATAGTCGTGCTGTAGTCATGCTGTAGTCACACTGCACTCATGCTGTAGCTCTGCTGTAGTCGTGCTGTAGATCTGCTGTAGTTGTGCTGTAGTCGTGTTGTGGTTGTGCTGGAGAACTGCTGTAGCCATGCTGTAGTCGTGCTGTGGATCTGCTGTAGTTGTGCTGTAGTCGTGTTGTGGTTGTGCTGGAGAACTGCTGTAGCCATGCTGTAGTCGTGCTGTAGATCTGCTGTAGTTGTGCTGTAGTCGTGTTGTGGTTGTGCTGGAGAACTGCTGTAGCCATGCTGTAGTCGTGCTGTGGATCTGCTGTAATTTGTGCTGTAGTCGTGTTGTTGCTGTACCTGTCCATACACATCGACCGTGTGTTCGTGCTTCACCCTCTCGAGCGCAGCGTCGATGACGATGAGGCAGCCCGTGCGACCCACACCCGCACTGTGGAACATGCAGCGCAGGGTCAGAGAGGTCAGGGGTCACCAGGGCTCAGGGACCGCAAAGCGGCAAATGGAGAAGAGGTCGAGAGGATTAAATGAGAGATCAAGAGGGAGAAGTCAGGGAGTAAGCAGTGAAGGTGTGAAAGGTCAGCAGCTGAGTGATCTGGGGTTAGAGGATTGCGTGTTTGCTGCTTGCAACTGTTGCTTTATGACCGTTACTGTGTGATTTTTGTATGGTTGTGTCCATTTGACATGACTGTGTGGCAGTACGGCCCATTAGCATCATCCTTCTGGGATTGATAAAATGAGTAGCACTGCTGTGTGGGAAGTCAACAGAGGTTGTGCTTTCAAAATACTGAAACCCGTCATTATAATGGGAAACTTTCAACACTGGCTCAAGGCCAGTAACAGAGATGAGCTCTGCCCTATGCTTATTTGTCCAGGGAGACTTTGTTGTATGACTGTTGCATGATTATTATTGTATGATATCACTGTGTTGTATTACTGTAGCTCTGGTGTTGTTGTAATGTTGTCAGGGCTAACTCAACACAAAGTGGGGCCCTGTGCAGATGGGGAAAGAGTGCCCCCCTTGACACAGGTATAGAGACGTGCAGAAAGAGAGACGTTGAGACAGCCATAGACATACACAGAGTGAGTGCATGCAATACACTTTTGGATTTATATACCATATAAAATATCGTCACATCTCACTAAGCACGAAAACAGTGGGATGTGCACCATGGGGACAATGAATAGGTAAATACTGTATGGCTTTTTTTACATGAAAACAATGATAAAGAAAAAAACATGCGTGTAGACAGTCACAGAAAGATACATTGAAAGACAGAGACAAACATAGAGACACTGAGTGAGACACTGAGTAAGACACAGAGAGACAAACAGAACATTTTGGAGGCCCCCTATAAAACGAGAAGGTCCTATGCACATGTGTAAATGGCCACGGACGGCTGTTGGACAGTGCTTGTTGTTGAAGTAGCATTGTTGTTCTGTGATTAACGTGTTTTGTTGTTGTGTAACTGTTATTCTTTTGTTGCAGTGATTGTTGTTGAGCTATTGTCATTGTATTTCGATTTAAAGCTTTCGTGACTGCAATGATTCATCTTCTTTGGTTCTTTCGGTAAAGTCACGTAGAATGAGAATAAAATAATAAATTGATAAAATAAAATAACACAATAATATTATCACGACGTTTCGGCCACAACACAAGCGGCCTTCATCAGGTCTCGTCCCTTCACCTGATGAAGGCCGCTTGTGTTGTGGCCGAAACGTCGTGAGAATATTATTGTGTTATTTTATTTTATCAATTTATTATTTTATTCTCATTCTACGTGACTTTACCGAAAGAACCAAAGAAGACTATTGTCATTGTGTTGCGGTTTGGTGATTGCTATTGGGTTATTGTGTTGTTGTGACTGTGAATGTTGTGGGAATGTTTTGTTGTTGTGGTATGATTGTTGCTGTGTTGTTGTCATTGTGACTGTCGCATTAAATTATTACAAAACTATTTAAATGTTACCAGGTAAGGTCCACTTATCTATATAGCTCTTTTTCAGAAAGCGACCTGGCCACAAATGATAGCTCAACGAAGTGGCTCATCATGTGGAAATTTATAGCCAGCAAATTCTCTAAAAACATGTTTCTAAATGTGGAGGGAAAACCCGGAGGACACGGGGATAGACATACAAACTCCAAATACACATGCCTCAGGGATGGGATCGAACCCACGACCTCCTGTATACTAGGCAAGGCATCTTGCCACCGTGGCACACCACATCATGCTGTTGTATGATTGTCGCACTGTTGTATCGTGGTGGTGTTATTGTTGTATCTTGGTGTTGTATATTGTATCGACGTGGTGTTGTATATTGTATCGACGTGGTGTTGTTGTTGTGATCGCTGCCTGCAGTGCACGATGAGGGGGCCTCCGTCAGCGGAGCTCCCCCAAGCGGCGCGCACGCGGCGCAGGAAAGCGAGCACGGGGGTCGGGAACTCGGGAACGCCGTGGTCCGGCCACGCCGTGAACTGAAATTGCCGCACGTCCCGGCGCTCCGTACAGCCAGACTACAACAACAAGAATTACACGATAACCATTATGTAACAACCATACAATTGCAAAACCAAACAACATCCCAGATCTGTAGCCTTGAGAGTCAAGGGGAAGTGGGGTGTATGTGCAAATCATTTGGTTTTAGTAAAAACTGGATCAGGGGTTTCTAACTCGCCATCACCATTAAGGTCTTGCCCATTCCCTCACCAGAGATCGAATTCTCCTCACTGCTAACATCAGTGATGAATATCAGAACCAGTCCTGGGTCTCACCTAGGTTGGTGTGGATCGGCCTTACCTAGGCCTTAAATGAGTACCTGGTGCGGTATGTAAAACATGACCACTGGTGAGACAAAGGTGGCCGGGTGTAAAGCTGGTCACATCACCCCCTCGAGCACCCTGTTTGACCTTTGTAGGTGCTTGCTAGCAGTACTTGCCTCCAAAGTCTGTTAAGGCTATAGGGGGATCTTTATCGTTGTACACTCATGTGTGTATATGCGTGCATACCCGCGTGAGAGTGAAGGAGCGTGTGCTGTATGTTGCCAGCTCCACTGTGTCCGTGAGTGTGACTTGCACGAGCCCATATGACTCGGAGCCCCGGTTGGGCCAATACTGATCACACTTCACCTGCACAGGGAGAATGGAGAGACATACATCGAAATGTACAAGGGAGTTGAATGAAGACACAGGTATATAAGCATTATACAACTGTGTAGATACAAAAGTTGTAATTTGCCTATTTATGTACGTATAGAATGAGTGTACATAGTATGTACATGTGTGTGTATTAGAGTACATATGCCACATGTGCCATGCCGGCCTTCAACAGTCTCTTAAGGCTATACGGGGGATCTTTGTCTTGGTATGCCACGACATCAAACCAAATGGGAAAAATCCGAGGAAGCATAGACCTCCCATTGCAACAAGCCATGCTCAACGAACTCATCTGAGATTGGGCAATATGGGATCACCGCACGAGACGACGGGATGAAGCAGGCTCAACTGAAGACCGCTAGCGAACACCGTGGAGTTCTGCCGAGGTTCCCAATAAAAGCCTCATCGAGGGCCCCACCACTGCTCCACGTGGCTTTGATTTGATAAGAACACTGTGGTGGCTCCCATCATCAACTGCTTCAGAAGAGCAACTGGTCGTTGCTGTGCACACCTCTTCCACCAGTGGGACATTATAGGAGACCCACAGTGTGACTGCGGCCACTCGAGCCAACCAATGGATCATATCGCCAACAACTGCATTCTACATCTACTCTCTGACGGACCGATCAGTATTGGTCATGCTACTCCAGAAGCCATCACTTGGCTCACAAACTTAAAGCCGAACGTATAATTGACACATTTGCCATACTCTAGAAGAAGGGTACATAGTTACAAGTTAAATTGATAATAGCTGGCTTTTTTGTCACTGAAAGGAAATATCTTGAAGTGTCCGCTGACTGATCTTCAGGAATTAGAGATAAATAAAGAGAGAGGTATATATCCTGGAGAGAAACGTTAAGTTTGGGTGGTGAGTGACTGCTGATCAGCCAATTGAATGAAGTACGTGTTGTATATATGAACTTCCAAATAAACGGAAGTCAAAATCGTAATTAATGAATTTATTTTTGGCGACTCCGTCCCATCACGCACATAAATGCTGCGACCCACCAAGAGCGGATCATTTAGTTGTCATGTCGCCCAAGCGCAATGCGGACGAATGCGCAGAAGAAACAAAACTTTTCAACTTTGATTAGCGCATCGTGTAGAGCTCGTCGAGAGGAAAAGATTGCCTATCGTTCGCAATCAACAGACATAAAATTACGTCACAACACAGTTTATGTGAGAGCCGGGGGCTTATGGGACCCTGGGGTCCCGCCGTAAGGTTCATATGTGGAAATACAGTGTGATAGTGCTATACCACAGCATTTAATGAGGTTGTGGACGTTAGCATAGTATATGCCATTGCAGCAGTATACATGCTGCAATGGCATATATGGGTATGCCTGTGTGCCAAGTGTCGGTGACGGTTCTCTGTGGCTGAATTGGCACCTGGCTACTGGCATCTAAGGGCGCCACAGTGACGAGATATTAACTGCCTCGCCTGGTATATGGGAGGTCGTGGGTTCGATCACAACCCTGACACCTGTATATTTGGAGTTTGCGTGTTCTCCCCGTGGTGGTGGTGAGTTTTTTTCTGGGTCCTCCGGTTTTTCCCTCCACATTTAGAAACACGCGTTTAGAGTATTTGGCTGTTAGAAATTTCCACATCATAAGCTACTTCGTTGAGCTATCATTTGTGGCCAGGTCTCTTCTGAAAAAGAGATACATAGCTCAGCGAGCCTTATCTGCTAAAATATATATATTTTTAATAGGTTATTTTAATAGATACCCGTGCACGCTCCTCCAGCTTTGTCATCATGACGATGGTGGAGCTCCGCTGCTCCCACACCATCCTCCAGAAGTCCGCGACCGTGTCCGCGAGGGGACCCTGTGATGCTATGTATGCGTTGTGCCTCCGGTAGCCGTCAATGTAATTGGCGTTGATGTAGTCACTGCCTGGGACACCTGTGAGCGTGTGCGTTGACGGAGGTGGTGGCAAAAGAGCGGTTGTCAGTAGCGGCATTACCGGCAGCAGGAACAATCCGCATCATCAGCCATGGTGGAATAAGCAACAATAACAACACTCACTCAGAAACTATTATCATTATCGTGTTTTTTTTTTGTTTGTTGTGGTTGCACCCGATTCAAGAGTCGAATGACTCACAGGGCTATACCAAAATAAATAAACTGAAAAAAACTGAAAAATTAAAATCATGAGCAGTATCACCATTAACCTCAATGTCAATTGGAGCCAAAGCAGCTTCAACAGTAACTAAAACAAAATGTTATCAATAGCAACAGTAGTAGCATCAGCATCACCATCATTATTGTAATCAACATGCCATCATCATCACCACCATCATCATCCTCATTAACATTGGTACCACAAATGAAAAATTTATTATTATCATCAATATCAGCAACAGCAGTATCAACACTAAGCTCATTTTCATTGCCATAAACACAATCATCAATCATTCACAGCACAAGCAACAAAACACACCAACTTTACTGTTACATCAAAAGCTAACGAGTGAATTATTGAGAGAATACGTGGGGGTGAGTGTGCACGTTGCAGTGTACCAGTGTGTGTGCGCGCGCGCGTGCGTGTTAGTAAGATGGTGTTGGCGAATAGTGGGTGAGTGATTGCGCGAGCTTGTCACCGTCAATGGTGTGCAAAATGACGCGCGAGTGGTCGTAGGCGACCACGTTCGCGTATCGGTTCTTATGTTTGTTGATCTCCAAGTTGGAGTGGTCCCACGTAAACTGCTGACCTGGGTCTATAGACTAAAGATACAAGAACACATATGTATGCATATATAAAGACAGAGACACACACACACATTTTTCGATTTGAAGCTTTCGTGACTGCAAGGATTCATTTTCTTTGGTTCTTTCGGTAAGGTCACGTAGAATGAGAATAAAATAATAAAATAACACAATTAAATTCTCACGACGTTTCGGCCACAACATTGAAGCTCTGTCGTCCCGACAGGTCTGTACCTTTCACCTGAAGACGGCCGCTTGCGTTGTGGCCGAAACGTAGTGAGAATTTTATTGTGTTATTTTATTATTTTATTCTTATTCTACGTGACCTTACCGAAAGAACCAAAGAAGACACACACACATATTCATGCAAATTCTGATACGAAGAAAACCACATAAATACGACACACACAAACATCTAACCTATGCCAATTGCATTTAGGTTTTCTGGCCATGATCTCACCGAGAACACAGGGGTGGTTATCATTAACATATTAGAGTTCAGCAGTACTCTTGCGTTGTGTCTCACATGCTTACCACTGCACACAAAAGTTCGAACCCGACCCCGACACCTGTATATTTGGAGTTTGCATGTTCTCCCGGTGGTCGCGTGCATTATTCTTTGGGGTCCTCCGGTTTTTCCCTCCACATTTATAAACATGCATTCCGAGTATTTGGCTGCTATACATTTCCATGTGATTATCCACTTCGTTGAGCTCTCATTTGTGGCCAGGTCGCTTTGAAAAAGAGCTGTATAGCTCGGTGGAGCCTTACCTGATCAAGTAAAAAATAATTTGGTAGAGGTTTTTCTTTTCTATATATACTTTTGTCTGAATAAGTTCACACCTATGTATAAAAGATATACTATACATGTATATATGTATGTATTAACGTGTGAATTGTGTGCAGCATGCACAATTTGCAGCATGTACAGTGTGTGTGTGTGTGTGCAGGATGCATAGGTCCACTCAACCTTAAATGAGCTATATAAGTTAGTAAGCATTATCTGGTAAAATATAAATAGTTTAATTTTATAGTTTAGTTGAAGAGGGCTTACAGGAAATAACGATAGTCCACGGTGGCGCCTGTTTAATCATATGCCACCAGGACCCATAACATGATCCACCAGGTCACAAGCCCACTGATAGAGCACGCCTCACCCTCGCCATCTCTCAGCGCCTCCGATGCGGCTCTGCAAGTTAAAATTCACGTGCCCGCATGTGTTCCCGTTGGAAGCGGAGCAGCCTAACGTACAGCCCATCTGCTCAAAGCCTATGGCGACCCAGTGTCACCCATGCCGCTATTATACAATCCGAGTCACATCTATGTTGCACCAACGCCATCCCCACATACTAGAGGACACGATCATATTAACGATTTATCACAAACATAACCACACCTATTACACTTACATAGCATCTAAATGTAAACACACGCAAAACGTGCATACACAGAGACACACACACGACACATATACACACAAATATATACAAATATTCTCTGTATATCCGTGTAGAATCTTGGGGCAATTTCTGTTAACGAACACCGATTAAGCACATATACGTAGATACAGGCACATAAACTATATATACAGTATAATTATGGTTGTAAGTGCTATGCATTATTACATCCAGATGAAATATTAAGCGATCACATAATTGGTTAATGTTTTGGTCAGTGCTAGAATTAGTCAGAGTTATAGGCAGTAGAGTATTATGGTTCAGACTTTGTGTTAAATGCTTGCGCTATTGTTAGGGCCAGTGCTCGTGTGAGAGGGCTAGTGTCAGGAGTGTCAGTGCCATTGCTAGCTTTAAGGTAGATCTAGTGTTCGGGTCAGCATCGGAGTCGAGTCAGTCAGTTAGTCAAAGTTTTATAGACCAGTGATATCTCCTCCTCACCTCATACTCCTGTGAGAAGAGCATGTTGTCATTGGCCTTCAGTCGCTCCACGTGACCCGCAAATTCTGACACTGGGATAGGCGGATGCATCTCCATGCCTGGCACAGGGCCCCAGCAGAAGAGAAAAATCCTCCATTCATGCAAATGCTCTTTTAAAATCTGTACACGAATCTCTTTATTATATATATACAAACATTAAAAGCCTAAATGCCAGTCAATTACAAGCATCTATTTTGACAGGGAATTCAAATCTACGGAGAAATGCATGCACGGACAGTTGCACACTTGCAAACCCACGTCATTGCATTTGCTGCTTGTTGCAGAGGTTCACAGTTTGAATCTAGCGGCTGTCCTACTCGTTAGTGGTTGTAATCATCAGAATCATATCCCCAATGTAATTCGCAAGAGTCGGCCATTGCGAGGCCGGCATCAGGGTCCAAAAATCACCGGCAAATTACTCATGTGCAAATTACTCATGTGCAAATTATTCATGTACAAATTACTCATGTGCAAATGCACATAACATTCATTGCCCTAGACTGGCAGATTTATGGTCAAGGTAACTCTTGAAAAAAATACTACCCTGGTCTTTTGAGTTTTCACCTGGTTAAACAAGTGAAACTTGAAATAAAAATGGACATCATTCACCATTGATGTTGATTCCGAATCGAAATCAGGTGACTGGGTTTGTAGGGCAGTGCCAAACTCTGTTCCAACACACATCCCCTGCCACCAAATCATAAACCTTCAACTATATGCAAAAAATGAGCATCTTTCTCCATGCAAAAGGGCTCCTCATCTTATTCTGAACAGTTAGTTTGCCTGTAAATGGATGTGGATCTATATATTGCGAATGGCATGAATCTAAATCCAGATTAATCAAATTCAAATCTGCAGACCTGAATATAATTAACCCATCAGAACCAACATTCAGGAGGTGGAGAAGCAAAACTCAGAACAATGAGAAGTGCATCGAGTTAATAAAACACAAGTGAGTTGGCATAGTAGGATGTACGAGTAGTACATGTGCTCGTCACTCAGGTCAGCCAACCCATAATACCACGGTCTACCCCGTAACCAGCTCGCAATCCTCTGCCACTCCACAAGGCCTCACAGTTGTCCTACGGTGTCACAGGCGCTGTGTTATCATCACTACCGCTTAGTGGTGTGTGGCGCCTAGTATGTTTGTACATATGTACTCGTACACAAGTATTACGTGTGTACAATTGCGTGTACCGTACCAGGGGTCTGGTGGTTAAGCCGACGCATTTGAACTGGGTCGGCACTGCCGCTGTGCCCTGTGTCTTTGCTGGGTGCCGGGAGGCAGCCTTTAACCTCAGCCTCCCGCTTAGACCTGGAACAAGTCACAGATTGTCATATTAGTATCCCTAGATTATATAAGCAGTGCCACATTAAATGCATTTGAATTGCTAGTCTGCATAAGCAATGGGATCAATAATAATTGTAATTGCTAGGCTGCATAATCCATTAATTGTTGTGCTTACAGTTGAAGTTATAGTCTTTCAAATCAAATTACAACAGATGTATAAAAACGTGATGAATACCACTGGATTGCTACTGTAGATACTGTGTAAAGGTAGTTACATTGATAGCCAAGATAAGCATTCTTCAAGTGTAGTTCGAACCAATAGACCAAACAAGGGCTATACATTTCTCGTTGCGTATGTTGGTTAGAGTGGAAAAGTGGATGTTGAACTGCAAGTGACATGACCACTGAGTTGGTAGAAAAGACAACGGAATGCTTTACATAGCTGAATTTTCTAGACGGTAGAGAGGTAAGCTGTGCTGCCTAAATTAATAAGCGAATGATATGACTTAAATTGGACCGGTGTAAGAAATATTTAAAATAAATGTGAAACTTCAGTAAGTGAGCTGCATGCTAGAACATAAATGGTCAGTTGAATTGCTTGATCAAATCCAGCGATGCAACGACCAAATTTCTAGATCCAGATAAGCAGTGTGTTGATTTAACTGCATTGATAGACCAGGTAGGGAAGTGGTAATTTGATGACAGTTGAATTTTCAGAGTAGATAGATGTGAAGGGGTTACCTGTCCGGCTTGCTGAAAGCAAAGAAAGACATAGACGCATAGTCAGACAGAACTGCTTGCTATGGTGATGATTGTACAAATGTGGGTGATGGTGATTTCCATATACAGGGAGAAAATACAAATGGAGATGCTGTTGGTGATGGTAGTGGTGCTAATAATTAAGATAGGAATTAAGCGATAACGGTGACTATTGTGATAATTTTGATGACGATGATGATCAAAATGAGGTTTATGGTGATTATAACAATGGTGTTGTGATGAGGAATGATAAGAGTGATAATTGTGGTGGTGATATTGATGTCACCTCCTGTAAGGATAATGGCGATGACGATGTCAATTCTGATGGTGGTAGGGGTGATAATGGTGAGGGTGTGATAATGACCATGGTGTTGACCAGCAATGATTGATGATGATGGTGGTGTATTTATTACAATGACAACGGTCATGTCACCTCTTGTAGAGAAGGATGGCGATGACGATGACAATTATGATGATGGTCGCTAGTACGGGTCCTACCACCCATACAAGACCCTCGTCCTCGCCAATCACAGGCTGTGCCTCCAGAAGAACAGGTGGAGAGCACGGACTGCTCACATACACGCTCTGTACACACACGCAGGGGTGGAGCCAGGGGGGGTGACAGGGGTGACAGGGGTGACATTCTGCGTATAAGTGTACGACACTCGGTCTGGCGGACTCCGTGCAACTGCATTGTCAGTGTGTCGCCAACCGATGGCGTCTAGTGCGACAGCCTGACTCTAATCATTCTTGAAATTAAAATTTGTTGAATGTCACCCCGGCCTGAAATCCTGGATCCGCCCCTGCACACACACACATACAAATGCAGAAATATACTTAATAGTATAAAACATATACTTAAATTCATATATATGCCCCGACAATTTATCAACATGTAAAAGTATACCAAATGTATGAATAAATTAACATCGAAATTATGGCAAAATATACTCCCAACATCGTGATGTGAGCGACAAATACAAAGGTATGTAACAATAACAGACTTTAGATGATTGGTTAAGTTGGTATTGTGAGTGAGGAACGAAATGTCTCCTAGAGATCGAAGCCAGCAAAGAGATGTAGCTCATGGACCCTTTTTCAAAAAGAATGGACCATAAGAAATGGACATGGGAGGAGCCCAAATAGAGAAGTCTGAAATTTAATTGACATGATTTTCAAGGATAAACCCCAGATAGTCAGAGGTGTTTCCATCTTCAGAAAAGCGATTAACAAGGAACACTTCAACACTGTGAACAAGAAGAGTAAAACTAATTACAGGAAAAAAAACAAGCTCGTTAATGTATAAAATCTAGTTCAGGCGGTATTAGAGTTTATACTGATTAATCAACAGATTCACATCCCTCAAGAAGCAAAACTATTCAATGGATGTAACACCGATGAATTAATGAAATTACTAATATTGTACTGGGCTGTGTATTGAATGTGGTGAGCAAAGTAAAAAGAAAACAGGCAATCTGCAACTATGAAAAGCATGTTTTGAAAATAAAGTATAGAAATGCCAAACAAAACAGTGGATACACAGAGCTATGTAAAACCATGAGGAAAATAAATTAGAACATCCAACACAAACATGATTGAAAATGCCATGACGAGCAGTGGGAGCATGAAAGCAGCCAAGAGGTTGATGTTTGGAAAATCACAAAGAGGAGCCCTTAGAGACCAATACAGAACAATAATGCACAGAGACAGAATCATAAAACAATTGAGACAGCAGCACATTCACTCACTTCTGGTTAACGCAGACTTGATTCCTTGCAAAAGGTATATATTTGGTGTTTGAACATCTTAACACCTGTTTTATTAAAAACCTATTTTTAATCATCACAACAGCCAACTTTGCCACTAAACGACATTCTTCTCCTCGCCACAACCCTTGTGACAGGAGGCTATGTGCAATGTGAGGCCACGTGAATCACAATCACAATCTCACACACATGCCCACATACATAAAGATGAGACACTCCTATAGCCTTTAACAGACTGCTGGGGAATGACTTGTTAGCAAAGACCTATGAAGGCCAAATGGCACATGAGGGGATGTTGTGGCTCAAACCATGCCCAGCCTCCTCAGTCTTCCGAGTGGTGATGTTTAGACACTGCACTAGATACTCACAAAGCTGGGTCAACCTCGGGGAGGCCCAGGACTGGTTCAGACATGTCACCGATATTGGCTGTGAGCAGGATTTGAACTCGGGTTGCTGGGTTCATAATGCAGCATGCTAACGACTCCACTACCGCTCCCCACATGCCAAAGGTCCCATATTTTATCTTTAACAGACTGTTGGGACAAGTGCTACTAGCAAGCACCTATGAAGGCCGGCATTACACACGAGGGGGTGGGTGGCCAACATCACACCCGGCTGCCTTTGTTTCCCTTGTGGCCATGTTTACACACTACTTCAGGTACTAATTTGAGGCTGAGTCGACCTAGGGGAGGCCCAAGACCAGATAATCATCACTGGTGTTGGCCATAAGCGGGCATTGAACCAGTGCGCCACCACTCCATTTCCAGAGTACAACAACCGCCATTCGCCACTAAGTGGCGGTGACATCACCACGACGCTTGTGCCAGGCCATGTGCACCTTGAGGCCACGTGAAGTGTCGAACGCCCACTGGTAGGAGGTCACGGGGCAGACCCAGGTGCCACGGGTTGACTGACCTACCTCCTCGCGGTGCCAGACGGGCAACGCTGTCGTGGACAGTGCTGTGGGGGGGTGGGCCAATTCCGATTGGCCTCTCACCTCATGGCGTCTGTGACCACCACAGTGGCTAAATGGGGGCTCTGGACGGGTGCGAGGGGCTGGTAACCCCTCCACCTTCAATTAATTACCACTAAACCACGACTAAAATATTCCAGAGTACACACGCATTGACACACGCACATGCTTGCATGGACATGCGCGTGTGTATGTATGTTTAACTTGTTTCGCACCGTAAAAGCCAAGCGTGCTGATCGGAGGTGCGGGCGAAGGACAACAAACTAAACACAAAAAGCAGTTCTAAAGAGACAAGTTTTTCATCCATTGGCTTCCTAATATCGGAAGAGCGTGTGTACACACCGCCTGCTGTGCAGGTGCGTGCAGCAGCGCCAGCACGCACACTCGGTAAGCGAGCCCTGGCTGCAGACGCCGACTGTGCCCGTCTCCAATCGGGAACGTGGGCGGGAGATGCTCCAACCGCGCCACCACAAATGGCCGCTGGAGCCGCTCCATGTGCGCCGCCACGAACTGGTGCTCGCTGGCACGCAGAGACATCCGCTGCAGCCGCGTGAGATGCAGGCTGGTTGCCTCCATGTCCAGGATCTAAGGCATGGACGAGCACATGTTAAACATACAGCACACACGTGCACATCCGTATAGATATAAAAAACACACGTATAGGTGAATGATAGTACAGACATGAATGTACAGACAAAGACATATTACAAGTGTCCATTAAATAAACCCATTGAGACACGTGAAACATTGCCTCTTTTTCAAAATGATAACCTGGGTCACATCAATTCATTTTAAGTACACAACGATGTACTGCATGAAAGAGATACACAATCAAAAAGTGTAAGGAATGAACGTAAAACTTTTATAAATGTTCAATTATGAGCTTACAGTGTGAGTTCCCTTCACATAATGCATTCCATTTCTATAATCCCTTCAGATATCATTAAAAAAATTTCCTCTGAAATTTTTGTCTGGACCTCGTAGATAAACACATATGCCTCACATAAACCTAGCACTAGATGGCAGACATATCACGTAATTCATCTTCTTTGGTTCTTTCGGTAAAGTCACGTAGAATGAGAATAAAATAATAAATTGATAAAATAAAATAACACAATAATATTCTCACGACGTTTCGGCCACAACACAAGCGGCCTTCATCAGGTGAAGGGACGAGACTGTCTGGAGGACAGCGCTGGAGTGAAAAAGCCACGCTCAGATCGCGACCTTTAAGCTCTGTGAGAAGAAACAAAGCGCCTTGACAAAGGAATTAGCATTGAATTTAGCATTGAAATGGCTGAGTGATTAGCTTGTAACTGGTCACAGAAATAGCTATGTTAAAGTCAGAGCATACACATTCACAGAGGCACCTAGTACAAATCAAACAGGAGAATTTAGCATTGAAATAACTAGGCGAATTTATATTTTAGTTTTTTATTGTTTTTTATTGGTTGACTATATAGTATTCATTATATATTGTAGTGTATACCCAGTTACTGTGAATAGCTCAGATGTGTAGGCCTTGACTTCAACATAGCCATTTCTGTGACCAGTCACAAGCTAATCACTCAGTTATTTCAATGCTAAATTCGCCTAGTATATCTTTACCGAAAGAACCAAAGAAGATGAATCCTTGCAGTCACGAAAGCTTTAAATCGAAATATATCACGTAATTATCAAAGGGGCTCCTTTACGTAAATGCAGGGTGTAGGGGAAAGTGGAATACGTTGTGGCTGAATCGTAGAAATGTAAAAAATTTGGTGGAGTAGTTGCAGTCAGGACGTGAACATGTTTGTGATGACAATAGCAGTTGTGGGCCTGCAAACGATTATATTTTACTGATGTTAAGCGGTTGATTTTTCATAGAGGTAACCATTTGTAGGAAATGGTATAGACTGATGAGCATTAGAAGTGGTGTTTCAGCATGGTAATGCACACCTTCACACTGCATATGCAACAATGGACTTGTTTCGATAGCTTGAATTGGATATTCCGTAAGATCCGACTTACAGCCCAGACTGATTCCCCTATGAAATTTATCTGCTCTGACCTGTGAAAGAAGCTCTATATGTCTTCTTCTTTGGTTCTTTCGGTAAAGTCACGTTTATTCTCATTCTACGTGACTTTACCGAAAGAACCAAAGAAGATGAATCATTGCAGTCACGAAAGCTTTAAATCGAAAGCTCTATATGGTCGGTCCTCCAACAGTAATGATTTTTTCCCGATACAAGAAGGGCCATTTGTATTGCCGTCTATGACAGATGCTGGATAAAAGAGCATTCCGGATGGTAAAGTGCCAAATAACATAACTTTTGCTGTACATGTATACACACGGGACACAAATGCATAACAAACAACAATCTTAGTTAATTACACAGCTGTTATCAGTGGTGTCCGCTTCATGTTTATAACAGGGCAATTATGACTCCCCTGACAGGCACCCAGAACTTGAACAAAGGATCTCAGCAGTGCCATCTGTCTCTAACACGACCATGATGAGCCAATAGAGCACTCAGACAATGGAGTAGAAAACAAAGCGGCAGTAGCATCACCTCTTCAAAGTCCATGTTGTTTGGGGAGACCCAGGCAATGGGCTGCTCTTCCAGGTTGTATAGAGGCACCACCACAATGAGGTACATGCTGCACACAAGACAAGACAAAGATCCCCCACATAGCCTTAACAGACTTTTGTGGCAAGTGCTGTTAGCGAGTACCTATGAAGGCAGGCACGGCACACGAGGGGTTAAGTGGCCAGCACCATGCCCGACCGCATTTGCCTGCCCAGTGGCAATGTTACACACTGCACCAGGTACTCATTTGTCCTTGATAAATAGGTGTGAGGCCATTAAGACAAACGTTTATATTAGAAGAGATACTTTAACAAAAGGACAAGACTATTTTTATTTTACCAGGTAAGGCCCCCTGAGCTATTTTGCTCTTTTTCAGAAGCGACCTGGCCACGAATGAAAGCTCAACAAAGCGGTTTATCATGTGGAAATTTCTATCACGCATATATACGTTTTAATCAAACTTTACATGCACATTGCTTTAATTGGTCTGAAAAAATACTGTCCAAACTCCCCTAGGTATCCAGACACGGAGAACAATACCTTGATATTCTTTGGGTCTTTCGGTACAGTCACGTAGATTGGTTCAAAGAAAATAACAAAAAACTACAACGTTTCGTTCGCAACACAAGCGGTCGTCATCAGGAAAAGGGGGTTAGCCTCTAAAGGCAAACTGTTTATAAAGGTTTAAAATGGGCATAGCCCAAGTGTCAGCAGCATGGGCGGGGCAGCTTATGTTAATGTAAGTGATGGTCCACGCCGGCGCTCGTGGTTGGTTTCCACCAATCAAAGGGCTGCCAGGTAAAAAAAATTAGCATGTGAATGTAAGATCGGAGAGCGGCCTCCACGGCGAGTGCGCTGAGGTGGCTATGTTAATGTGAGAGATTAGCATCTTAATGTAAGATCGCAGAGCTGCCACCATCTCTAGGTCGGCGCGCGAAAATGGTTGTGTTAGTGTGAGAAATTTAACCTGTTAATGTAAAATCGGAGGGCCGAAAATAACAACTAACATCGAAAGGTGGTAGGATGGGAACATCACAGCCAGTTATGACTTAGACTGGTAGATAACGCCCTTCCAATGATTGCTAAGTTTGTACCCAACTTCTCGGTTGAAATTGTGTCTATGTCTGTATATATGAATGGTTTCATGAACGAATCTTTGTTGATTTCCTTACTGGTTAACAAAGGAACAAATAAACCATCAGTTAAAGATGATGCACAGAATTATGTAAATGTTAAAATATATTGACTGTAGGGCTGCATCATGGGAAGGGGCTGGTTACAAACATCCTAATGCAGGACCCTCCTGAGTCTCAAGACTCGACGATGCTTTGCTGGGTAAATGAATTATGTGATACGATACAGAGAGCAGCAGAGTAATGCCATCTTTAAACTAAGCCTGGTGTGCTAAGAAAGTTGGCTATTAGGTGAAATAATTCACTGAAATATTTGTATTTTTTTGCATTTCTGCAACACCTTGTGAAAAACTTGGTATCCCTGCAAACTTTTTCCAGCTATACAAAGTGTTTATCTCTAATAGAATGTAGCCCACATCATATTCACGCAGACTACGAAAAAATAAAGATACTAATGTTACATGTTAGCACTACCTACACCAAGCCCACTAAATACAGAGCAAGTTCACTGATATAGTATCAGTTTAATAATTACTCTTTTGGTGTTGGGAAGTGTAAATGATGTGTCTTGACTCTGCAAGCACTAGTACCTCCACCTGTATGTATGTTGAACTTCTTTCGCACCGCACACTGCCAACTGTGCTAATCGGTGGTGTGGGGGGCTAACCTGAGGTGTGGGGAAATAATTGTTGTTATCTAACTACCACGAGAGGAGGTAGTGAAAACATCTGGTTTAAAAATTGTTGTCATTCAGCTGTTGAGCGGTGACTCAAATGGATTGATCTATTTAATTAATAAATATATTATTCTATGCATTTCCATCACTCTCTCACACACACCACCTGAAACATACACTCATATTCTTACAAGTCACCACTTGCTTCAAAGTGATGGTGATGTCACCACAGTGCCATACTGTGCGCCCTTTAAGGCAATGTGGACTCAATTACAACACTCTTTCATGCACATATCTTCTCTCACACACAAAGACAAAGAACTCCCCCCCCCACCAGCCATAACAGAATATTAGGGCAGGTTCTGTTAGCCAGCACTGATGATGGCCGACACAGTACACAGGGGAGTGGGTGGTCCCCAGTGACAATGTTTACACATCACACCAAGTACTCATTTGAGGCTGAGACGACCTAGGGGAAGCCCAGGATCGGTTCAGATAATAGTTACTAGAGTTGGCCATGAGTGGGAATCGAACTCGGGTCACCGGGTTTATAGCGCAGCGGTTAATACGCTGCGCTTCGAACCCGGCGACCCACACTCACACACAACAACAACCGTCATTCGCCACTAAGTGGCGGTAACGTCACCACGGCGCTTGTGCGAGACTATGTGCACGTTAAGACGACGTGAAGTGTCGAACGCCCGCTGGCAGGAGGTCACGCGGCTGACCCAGGTGCCATGGGTCGACTGACTGAGATGACTCACGCTGTCATATACATCGAAGCTCCCTCACACATTATTTCTCTTTCACAGACACTCTCACATTTACACATACACAGCTTATTCACACATTCTCTCTCACAAACACGTAAAAACACAGACTTCTAGGGCAAGTGCTGTTTGCGAGCAAACACGTAAAAAGACAGACTTCTAGGGCAAGTGCTGTTTACGAGCACATTTGAAGCCCAGAGCGGCACACGAGGGGGTGGGTGGACAGCACCACGCACGGCCGCCTTTGTCTCTGCAGTGGTGCTGTTTTCACCCCGCACCAGGTACTTATTTGAGGCTGAGTCGACCCAGGGAAGGCCCAGGACAGGTTCAGATAATATCATCGTCTCTCACACACACACATACACAGCTATCTCCAGCCCTCATGGCCTGCACTCACTGACCGAACCCTGAGGTCTCCCAGCAGCTGTGGCAGGGGCACAAGGGTTGGGTCGAGTCCATGTTCCCTCATATCACCATTCGCGTCTCCTCCCGTTTCTCCAATTAGCTCCCCAGGCTCAGACCAATGTACTTGGGGCACCGTGTGAACACTCACCACCTGCACACACAAACAAAGACCCCCGATAAAGCCTCTAATAGACTGTTCGGGAAAGTAATAATAGCGGTCACCTATGAGGCCCAGCATGGCACATGCAGGGGTGGGTGATCAACGCCATGCTTGGCTGCCTTTGTCTCCCCAGTGCTGATATTTTTAAAACTGAGTCGGCCACTGTTTTTGGTTGTGAGCGAGAATCAATCTCAGGTGGCTGGGTTCGTAGTGCAGTATGCTAAGTACTACACTACTGCTCCCTACCTGCAAACATAGCACAATATGTGCGTGGGGGTTATGATGCTGTTGAGTACCTGTTAAGGCTTGGACAGCATACAATGGGGTTATGACCTTGAGGAGGTCTAGAACATGTTTAGATAAATCTTGATTTGAAGCTTTCGTGACTGCAGCAATCCATACTCTTTGGTTCTTTCGGTAAAGTCACGTAGGTGGAAATAAAATAAAACAAAGCACGACATTTCGATCGCAACACAAGCAATCAACCACAGCAAGAAAATGCTGAAGTAGGCGAGAGAGCTGCCGTGGCGTGAGGTTATATAGGTAAGAAAGGGGGGAGGCAAGGGGGGAGAGAGAGAGAGCGGGGCGATGTTGGGTGGGGGGGGGCTGCATGAGCGCTAGGGGAAGAGGACGTGAGGCTGGCGGGGGGGGGAAGTGGGTGGGGCTAGAAGTGGGAAGCTGAGTGGGACACGGGGGGGGGGGGAAATGTACTAGTAAACGGCAGGTACGATGGAAACAACCACAACCAGTTAAGGCATTACCTGGTTAATAACATCCTACCAATGATTGTTCAATTTGTATCCATCTTCTCGGTTGAAGGTTTGCCGAGTACCTTGGTCTTGGAAAAAACAATATCATGCGAGCCCACAGCATTATAACAATGGTCAGCTACGGCAGAGGTGTTGGTTCTTCCGTGTTTCAGATCTGCCTTGTGTTCGCGAACGCGGTCCGAGACATGTCGTTTAATTTCCTCAATGTAACTGCTACCGCAGGTACAACTCAGTTTGTAGACTCCAGGGTATTGCTTCTCAGGTATGACCTCCTTCACAGATGGGATTAGATCACGGATTTTGTGTACTGTATTGAATCGAACCTGGATCTTGTGTTTGTTTAAGATTTTGGAAATCTTTTTGGTAACACCTGCTATGTCTGATAAAGTGATGGTTTTGTTGTTTAAGATTTTGTAAATGTTTTTGGTAACACCTGCTATGTATGATAAAGTGATGGTTTTGATTGGCTTCTCAGGAGATTGTTTCTGGAGAAGGATGGTAAGCTGCCATTCCTGGATGTTTTGTGTGAGAAGAGGCCTGACGGCTCGTTGGGACACTGTCCACAGGAAAGCCACCCACACAGATTCCTATCTAAAATCTGATTCCCACCACCATCCGGCCCAGAAAAATTCCCTCATCAAAACACTACACCATAGGGCCCACTGCATTTCCGACCAACACCACCTAGCCAGTGAACTGGAACACGTACACCAGGCCCTCAAGATAAATGGGTACTCGGACCGCATTATTCGCAAAGCTGTTTCTCCAACCATGGAGAAACAATCTCCTGAGAAGCCAATCAAAACCATCACTTTACCATACATAGCAGGTATTACCGAAAATATTTCCAAAATCTTAAACAAACACAAGATCCAGGTCCGATTCAATACAGTACACAAAATCCGTGATCTAATCCCATCTGTGGAGGAGGTCATTCCTGACATGCCATATCCTGGAGTCTACAAACTGAGTTGTACCTGCGGAGCAGTTACATTGGGTAAATGAAACGTCATGTCTCGGACTGTGTTCGTGAACACAAGGCAGATCTGAAACACGGCAGAACCAATACCTCTGCCGTAGCTGACCATTGTTATAACGCTGTGGGCTCGCATGATATTTTTTTTCTGAGATCAAGGTACTCTGCAAACCTTCGGGCAACTATCAAAGGTTTGTTCATGAAGCCATCCAGATATATAAACATAGACATAACTTCAACCGAGAAGATGGATACAAATTTAACAATCATTGGAGGGATGTTATTAACCAGGTAATGTCTTAACTGGTTGTGGTTGTTTCCATCGTACCTGCCGTTTACTAGTATATTTCCCCTCCCCCCGTGTCCCACTCAGCTTCTCACTTCTAGCCCCACCCACTTCCCCCCCCACAGCCTCATGTCCTCTTCCACTAGCGCTCACACAGCCCCCCACTTCCCCTACCCCACACCCCCCCCTCTCTATCTCTCCCCCCTTGCCTCCCCCCTTTCTTACCAATATAACCTCTTGCCACGGCAGCTCTCTCGCCTACTTCAGCATTTTCCTGCTGTGGTTGTTCCACCTGATGAAGATTGGTTGTGTTGCGATCGAAATGTCATGCTTTGTATGTTTAGATACAGCTTGGCACTGATGTAATGTTACCAGTGGCAAGCTGTATCTGAACAACAACTGTGCCACTGCTCCCATATACATATATACATACACACCATTAGTGTACACAGAGATTAAATATGACAGATTTAGCTACAAGACCACCTCACACACTGAGCTGACTTTAGTATGCTAACAGCACATTATATATGGCTAAATAGGAATTATTTCTAGTTTACAATGGTATGTGTGTTTGGGTCTCTTTCCCCATTATTATATTATCCCTCTCTATTTTGCTTCTATTTTCCTCCCTCCTCTCTTCTCCTACCCTCTTTCTCTCTTCTGTCTTTTTATCTTCTCCCCCCCCGCCCCCCCCCACCGACGGTACCTGCAGGAGGCCCCCATTGGGGCCTGCGTTGAGCATGAATGAGTAGAGTGAATCAGCCTCCAGCCCGACTACGAGCTGGTGGCTCCTCATTGCATCCACTTCCATGCTGTGGCCACCCCTGTACACGATCTACACACACACGTGGAGGGCAGAGGTGGGGGGAGATAAAGGTCAAAGGTCACACAAGACTCAGGGCTCTTCAGTTGAGACAGCCACTCTCCTGTGAAAGTAAATACCCTGCCACCGTCGGCATTAACACTGCCCTGAAAACCGGCTGGGTGACACTGTCTTCAAAGGAAAATACTCAATTCACAATCATAAGCTTATGTATTTGTAAAATTACAGTCGGGGGTAGACTTGGCCCATCGTGTTTATCATGACTGCCATCGTCATTTTTTAATCAAGAGGGGAAGTTAGGCACCTTTTGGCTGCACCTACTGACCACTCCTGGCCTTCACATAGGTTGAGGTGGCTTGTGTGCTGAGAATGTGCAACTGTCCAACCCTGACTCTCCATAATACTTGCCTATACCTCACTGCCACACCTGATGTTTACTTTTTATAAATGTTCTCAAATCACCTGACTTAAATGGCCATGCTGTCTCCTGACTAGGCGTGTAACGATGTATCATTTAATCTGTGAATTTGATTCGCATAAGTTCATGATGCATGCATAACATCGTACATGCAATTACTCAATTGCCGACTATGCAAATTGCATGCTGATACATTAGGCCAATAAAACGGACACAAGTCAGAAACAAATAAGAAACAATATCCAGTACACGAGATGGTAAAAGCAATCACAAATACATTATTTAACTGAATCACAACTCTAAATTTTGACGATTCATCGAATTGCAGGGTGCCGACTCGTTACATACATAGCCCTGACTCTTGCCTGACCTCCTGTCCATGTCCCTGCTCCTTATCGTTGCTGCTGCTACTCCCACCCGTCATCTGTCTTTGGCCTCTCCTGTCCTTGGTTCCCCCAAGGCTCACTGGTGCTGGGCCCTGGCACCCAGGACCCCCCTGAGACTCATCGGTGCTGGGCCCTGGCACCCAGGACCCCGCTGAGACTCATCGGTGCTGGGCCCTGGCACTCAGGACCCCGCTGAGACTCATCGGTGCTGGGCCCTGGCACTCAGGACCCCCCTGAGACTCATCGGTGCTGGGCCCTGGCACCCAGGACCCCCCTGAGACTCATCGGTGCTGGGCCCTGGCACCCAGGACCCCCCTGAGACTCATCGGTGCTGAGCCATGGAAACTGCAGCACCTCTCGGGCTTCCCTGAATGTTATTGATGTTGTCTTCAGACATTGTTACATTTGGATACAATATTCAAATTATTACATCGTTGTCCTTTAAGTGTTTTAAAAATAACTAACAACATTATGTGCCACCTATAGAGAGACTGGCTCCTGTCATCGAAATGTAGAATTTTCACCACTGGATCAGGGCTGTAAACAGAGAGAAACACAGAACTTATTTTTTTAAGCAGGGCTACAATTTAAATATATTCTGTTGTAAGGCACTGATAATACAGACACAGTAAAGTATTTTGTCGACTGTGATGCTACACTCATATGGTGATAAGTTGTTTAGTGTGGTGTGTCGTATAGTGCTAAAATGAAGTGCAGTGTTAGATGCAAATATGTAGTACTAGCGGGAAGTACCCGGCGTTGCCCGGGCGAAAAACATCCAGGAAAAGCCATCAAAATCTTCCAGAAAAAAACAGCGTATATCAACGCTGTGTGCAAAAATCGCAGTGGGATGAAAGTAAAAGAATAACAACCATAAGACGATTGAGATGAAAGTTATGAGGCTGTGTACTTGAACAAACAAAAATGGCTTAAGCATACGTTTTAGAAATCAGCAAAAGAAAGCTAGAGAAAGATTGTAACAGTGTGCATAGGAACTGCGATTCAAATTTAAGAGCAAACGATATAAATAACGTGTACGACCATACTTTTCTGACATAGCTGGCAGCATGAGTCACTCCATAACAGCAGGAGTATCTAAATTTTCCAATGCACCTTTAAGATCAGCACATTCTAATTAAAACTGAAAGTCACACTTTACTGGTAAGATATGCCTTTGTCTTCTATTGAATGCAATCAGTCATACGTATATGGTTAATGGCATAAAAACACATTTATTTGTACTGTAGTATTTATTACCGTAGTACTTATGAGTAGTGTAGTAAGGCACTTCACAACACACAGGCGGTATGACATTTGTAATAGGAAAATGGGGGAAATCGGGAGAAGGGAGGTAGGGCAGGTAAGATAGGAGGCGAAAGAACAACAGCGCGCGGGCAGTGGCGCAAACAAACGCTGCCAGCCAAATTGCGGACAGGACACTTGACAGGCACGGAGGCAGGCAGGAGATGTGGGGATAGGGCGATGAGATGTGGGACGGCGAGGAAGGCGCACTGCATGAGCGCCATCACTAACAGCCGCCGGTAGGCAGGCCGCCGAAATGGTGGCTGGCAGGCGCAGGTGAAGGTAGGACACCCGGGAAGGAAGCGAAGTGCAGGCCGCACAGGGCGGCGAGGTGTGGGCGCGGCTCAGCGAGCATCCACCGACAGCATAAACTACCCCCCAGCAGGCGTGGGGTGAAGCAGCACACGTGTGCGGGGAGTGGTGCCCCAACCCAAGCAAGAGACTCTCCAAAGTAATGAAACACAAAAGAGGGCCTCTTGCAAATAATTCAAGTGACACTTGTAGCTGACCCGCACCTCCCTATCAAAGAGCCTCTTTCTGGTCTTGCCTGCTGGTGCAAAGTAATGTAAATGTTTTGCATTGCCTACGCGAGAGCATCCAACATAAAACTGGCCATGAGAAAAGCACGGAGTTGCCAAATTGAGTCCCACCACTTTTAAAGATTGTCCTTGCGCCTTGTTAATGTGGCACAGTTGTTCAGATATGAAGCCTCTTAAATTCAAAGACTGCGTCATTTGGGATTACAGTAAAACCTTGGATTGCGAGCATAATCCGTTCTGGAAACGTGTTTATAATCCAAAGCACTCGTATATCAAAGCACTCGTATATCAGTTGTGATCACGTGATGCTCAGCAGACAAAGCGTATACGTACTACTCGTCTTGCAAGACCTCGCTCGTTTATCAAATTAATATTTAATTAAAAAACTTGCTCGTCTTGCAAAACACTCGCAGACTAAGTTACTCGCAATATAAGGTTTTACTGTATAGGTATGCGAGGGAAAAAGATGTCTTCACCTTTAGAATTGCCTGTAATGATCGTAGCTTTGATGACATTTGAATGTAATTCTTTGACAATCAACCTTGTGCCATTGCATAGTCTAGGTAGGTCCAATTTTCTCAATAGCAGGACAGGTGCCCCAATTTTTAGTAGCAAGTTGTGTGGTGGAACACCCGGGAGCTGCAGATAATTCAAGAATTCAACAGAATAGTGAACAATTTGATCATGGTCAAACACTGAGTCAATAGATTTGTAGGACTTGTGCTCTCCAGATAATTTCTGCAACAGCATAGAATTTATTCTGTGAACAGCATCATTTTTAGGAGCCAAAATGGCCCTCTCCCATAGCCAGATAACATCTTGAAAGTGTTGTTGCATGTTTGGGTACACCTTTTCCTCTAGTTCCTCTTGCCAAGTGCAAAGGATGCCTTTAGACATGGTGATAAGTCCATCTGTGCCGTCAGCAACAATTGTTCCATTTCCAATATCAAGAAGAGCTTGAGCAAAACTTCCTGCCTCTTGGTCTCCATGGAGATACACACGCGTATTTGTAGTTGGTCTCAGTTTTATTACGTGCCTCCAGAGGAACGATGACTTGATGCAGGCATTTAACTCATCAGCTTTGGTTCCGCGAAGTACCACAGGTAAGGTTTGTCACCAGCCATGAGAAAAGTTACACCACCCATAATCCTGGGATTGTCGCGGAGAACCTGCAAAGTTGTGTTGACAGCCTCAAATGCTCCCTTGTGGGACATGGTGCATTCATCCCACAATATTAGTTCACAATTAATCAGGACTTGTGCAAGGGCAGTCCCCTTTGAAATATTGCAAAAAGGGTTTTCTTGTCAGGATAGATATAATGGAAGCTTGAATGTGGAATGGGCCATTCTTCCTCCAGTAAGCAGAGTTGCCGCAATCCCCAAAGATGCCACAACCGGAGCAATTGTCTGCCTCTGGCGATCCTTAGCCAGGAGCAGGTTGAGAAACAAGGTCTTCCCAGTACCACCAGGTGCATCAAGGAAAAATATGCCTACATTTTTAGACTCAATGTCTTCCAAGATTTTCGTGTAGACTTCTATTTGTGCATCCATCAGCTTTGGTTAATTTTCCTCAGTACATTTTAGAAGCTCTAAACCATCATAGGATATTTCACATAGGATCTCTTGGCCAAGGGCATGGAGGTTGTCCCTGGAGGGTGCTGGTAGTCTGATAGACTTGAAGTCTTTTCCACCAATGGAGTGAAGTTTGCCTTCAAGGAGGATGAGGACCTGGTTAAAGATAACATCCGAAAAGGTGACCCCGAGGTTGGGATTTTGTAGTTGAGCTCTGTGGAGGATGTCCTCACTGATGGCTTCTTTGTATTTTTCCAAGAGTCCCATGGGGTCAGATGGGGTGCAAACGTGAAGAATTATGCAGAAGAGCAATCTCATTTGAGAAGGGGACTGACTAACAGAAGCCTCTGTCATAGCTTTATCAATATGCTGATCATCCTCAAGAATTCCACAAAGATTGCAAGCTTTCCTGTATGTTTCACAGACAACTCCTTCCATGGTTTGGAGGTCTTGGAAAGAATTTGGCCCTTTGACACATGGAGAAGCATTCGCAGAAAGTAGCACTCCTGATTGTTGGGATGAGCTGTGTAGACTCTTCCTAAGGCATCAGATTCACCGTCACCACCACGTTGCTTCCATTTTCTTTGAGAGTCCATGTGTAATAAGTGGCTCCGACACGGTAAGTAACTTTCTGTATTATTTATTCAAATCTTCGTACAGCCACCGCCTCTCGTTCTCGCGGATGCCGATCCGCTCTCTGGCATGGCTGTGCTGCCCCGCGCCACGTGGCGCTCACCCCGCTCTCTACTGCACCGCTGTCTGGCGGCGCGCTGGGGAGCGGCTGAGCAGCTGAGCG